GTCATACCAAAAGACTTTAAAAGATGGTACTTGTTGTTACCTTGTCTGGCGCTCGGCATTAAGGGGCTAAAACAAGGACTGGTCGGCTCGGAGTCAGTATACTGTGTCTGAGTGGCGAATTCATGTTAAACTGCGGCATGGTATCTCAGTGAGCTAGCACTATAAATCGGCATCAGTCCGGACCAGTACAAGCAACCACACACACTCACACGTGCAATATGAGTGCAAAAATCTTTGACGCGACGTTAAACCCAATTTCACCTCCCCTACCTGGTATTTGCACCACCTGACCTGTAGGATGTGTGTATGATTAATTAAAGCGTGGTAGGAGGTTCAGGTCGCCGTTTGATCACGTACGCTGAACGTAATTCCATTTTCAACAAGAGGAGTGAGTGAGTGTGTTGGGTTCAACGCCGCTTTTAACAATATTCCAGTTATATCGCGGCATGTCAGCTTAATGTGGGAGGAAAGCCCGAAGTGATGCAGGTCTCAGACCTTTACCACTTCGGTGAAACCCACGAGCATGGTGCTGACAAACCTAGAAACATAATCGGGGCGAACCGGGATTCGAACCCACAATCCTAGGTTTCTGGCGTGCCAAGGGACGCAATTCTGCACAGCGAATCGCGGCGCCTTAGACGACTGGGCCACCGCGACTGTTCAGATTACGTGTTCAATTTGTATTTCTAATCCAACTGGGGGCACGGGTGGTCCAGTCGTCTAGGGCGCCGCGATTCGCTGTGCAGAGTTGCGTCCCTTAGGCCCGCCAGAAACCTATGATTGTGGGTTCGAATCCCGGTTCGCCCCGATTATGTTTCTAGGTTTGTCATCATGGGTTTCACCGAAGTGGTAAACGTCTGAGACCTGCATCACTTCGGGCTTTCCTCCCAAATTAAGCTGACACGCCGCGATATAACTGGAATACTGTTAAAAGCGGCGTTAAACCTAACTCACTAACTCACTCACTCTAATCCAACTGTTGTGTATACTTTCGTTTGCCCGGCAGTGTATACTAATTGAAAGAGAAACGACATTTCCGAATAATAGATCGTTCTCAGAATATCCAGACGTACGTGGGAGATCTATTTCCTGCAGCACGTGAGTGCACTGATATGAAAAGGTCACGCTATCTAATCAAGGATGTTACTTTATTCGGAAATGAAACCATACATGCACGCATCATATTAAACCTAACTTCCCGCTTTTCGAAAAACGACGTGACATAACATTCTGATCCACCATCCTGCGCCCTACTATCACACCTTAGATTTAACTGTGAGTGAGTGAGTGAGTATGGTTTTACGCCGCTTTTAGCAATATTCCAGCAATATCACGGCGGGGGACACCAGAAATGGGCTTCACACATTGTACCCATGTCGGGAATCGAACCCGGGTCTTCGGCGTGACGAGCGAACGCTTTAACCACTAGGCTACCCGACCGCCCCAGATTTAACTGTGACAAGTATCATGACTCTTCATTGGCATCTAACCCTCTTGAAGATCAGGGTGAGAATTGGTTCTTCATCAACCCCTGCATGCTTGTCAGTCACTGGATTGTCTGGTCCAGACTTGCTTATTTACAGACCGTTGTCATATAGCTGGAACATTGCCGAGTGCGATGTTAAACAACAAACAAACACACATTGGCATTTAAGTGCAGATTACGATTGTATACAAACTACAGGCTTAACCCATTTCGTGATACTTTTATGTGGATGTTTTCATCAGAAAATAAAACCGGAAATGGTGTGCAAAGAGATTCTAATATGAGTTTGGTTTACCCTCCGTGGTCTAGTGGTAGAGCGTCCGCCCGGAGATCGGAAGGTCCGGGGTTCGATCCCCGGCCGCGTCATACAAAGACGTTAAAAGATGGTACTTGTTGTTACCCAGTCTGGCGCTCGGCATTAAGGGGCTAAAACAAGGACTGGTCGGCTCGCAGTCCGTATACTGTGTCTGAGTGGGGTATTCATGTTAAACTGCGGCATATCTCAGTGGGCTAGCACTATGAATCGGCATCAGTCCGGACTAGTACAAGCAGCCACACACACACGTGCATGCACGTCACTATATAAGTGCAATAATCTTGGACGCGACGTTAAAACCAAATTCACCTCACCTCACTGTCTTGTTTTTCAGGATTATGTAGCAAGAGAGCCAGATCAACTATTATAATGGGGGTCGAATCTGGGATTCGAACAAACGAGAAGAGGATTCTGATAGCAAAGGGAAGCAACTCTGAACGGGGCAACAGAGAAATGGCGCAGTACCAATCTGAGATGTTATTTGAAGGGTAGACCTTGTGAAAGGGCGGCTGTCGAGACTTTCCGGCAGTGGTGAGTACTTTCCGGCTGTGGTGAGTACTTTCCGGCAGTGGTGAGTACTTCCCGGCAGTGGTGAGTACTTTCCGGCAGTGGTGAGTACTTTCCCGCAGTGGTGAGTACTTTCCGGCAGTGGTGAGTACTTCCCGGCTGTGGTGAGTACTTTCCGGCAGTGGTGAGTACTTCCCGGCAGTGGTGAGTACTTCCCGGCAGTGGTGAGTACTTCCCGGCTGTGGTGAGTACTTCCCGGCTGTGGTGAGTACTTTCCGTCAGTGGTGAGTACTTTCCGGTAGTGGTGAGTACTTCCCGGCAGTGGTGAGTACTTTCCGGCAGTGGTGAGTACTTCCCGGCTGTGGTGAGTACTTCCCGGCTGTGGTGAGTACTTCCCGGCAGTGGTGAGTACTTCCCGGCAGTGGTGAGTACTTTCCGGCAGTGGTGAGTACTTTCCCGCAGTGGTGAGTACTTTCCGGCAGTGGTGAATACTTTCCGGCAGTGGTGAGTACTTTCCCGCAGTGGTGAGTACTTTCCCGCTGTGGTGAGTACTTTCCCGCAGTGGTGAGTACTGTCCGGCAGTGGTGAGTACTTTCCCGCAGTGGTGAGTACTTTCCGGCAGTGGTGAGTACTCTCCGGCAGTGGTGAGTACTTTCCGGCAGTGGTGAGTACAGTCCGCAGTGGTGAGTACTCTCGGCAGTGGTGAGTACGGCTTTATGCTGTTTTAGCAATATTCCAGCAACATCACGGCGGGGGGACACCAGATGAGAATCACACAGCGTTCCCACGTGGGAATCGAACTCGGGCCTTCGGCGTGACGAACGAACGCTTTAACCACTAGGCTACCCAATAGCCATGTTCTGACAGTAACATGTAATATAGGAGTAAATGGTAATGACATATTACTGTCATAGATCAGTCATGAATGTTATATATACACATTCGCAACATTTCTCTTGTCGGGCGGCTGGTGCGACGATAGCAAGGCTATTCCTACTACGTCTGTATATATACTGCTATACAAGCCAGATCAGTAATATCCCATTGCAGGTGTTTTACCTTGGTCTTTTTTCGAGTCTTTTAAGATCTTTGCACTTTTTTGAGTCGGGACTCTCAGTAAATATTTTCGGTGTCAAAGTCTTATAAATAAACTGTATAGAATTGATGTCAGTCATTGGCCATATTTAAATAACATTATGTTTGAGTTGCAGATTTTGCAGTTTGTAATCCCTTATTTAAATCACACCCTTTCGGTATAAAGGATATGTGTAGGTTGTCAAATATGCTAAGGAAACACCATACACATGTTTACAGTCAAAATGTGACTCACACAAGGAAATATATACCTGCCGATATGATTGTCAAACCGGGGTCAAGAAAGTTTGAACTACCTGTATATATTTCAAACAACAATAAAAGTAGAAGTGAGTGAGTGGGTGAGTGAGTTGTGTTTAACGCCGCTTTTAACAGTATTCCAGTTATATCACGGCGTGGCAGCTTAATGTGGGAGGAAAGCCCGAAGTGATGCAGGTCTCAGACGTTTACCACTTCGGTGAAACCCACGAGCACGGGTATGGTGCTGACAAACCTAGAAACATAATCAGGGCGAACCGGGATTCGAACCCACAATCATAGGTTTCTGGCGTGTCCACGGGACGCAACTCTGCACAGCGAATCGCGGCGCCTTAGACGACTGGGCCACCCGTGCCCCCATAAAAGTAGAAGCATTTACAACTAACATAAATGTCAGTGAAACATGCATTCGTCCCAATCATCCTTGTCATCCTGGTCATCCTGGTCATAACACAACAGGGGCGGTCAGGTAGCCCAGTGGTTAAAGCGTTCGCTCGTCACGCCGAAGACCCGGGTTCGATTCCCGACATGGGTACAATGTGTGAAGCCCATTTCTGGTGTCCCCCGCCGTGATATTGCTGGAATATTGCTAAAAGCGGCGTAAAATCATACTCACTCACTCACTCATAACACAACAATGCAAGGCATGACTTGTGTTAAGGTAGAATGGATGCAGTATAGTTGAGGAACACAACACAAACCAGATGGAACATATCGTCCAGTGTGTTGGACGGGGTGGTAACGGTGAACACGTAACGCTTATGTTTGAGAGGTAGAACCTGATTCCAAATCAACTTCACTTAATTTCCATGACTTTTATTGATAGGTATAGGGATGTCCCTGTTGGACTGAAGAAAGTCCATCTCTGACACTAAGAGTATTTCTTCCCAGAATTACGTGATTACATTTAATGAACCAAAAAGCCATACCTTTTTGTGCCCCCAGGACTCGCAGTGCACATTATTCCGTCACATCAATTGTACAAAATGAACGTGTCAAATATACGTATGAAACGCCAAGTCGCTTGACAGATGGGATTTTCATAAAACGTACCTTAGCGTCCCGAGCTCTTAATGCAATTACACACATTTAAATGATTAAATATATTTAAATGAAAAAAACCCCATTCATCTGTCAATGTCTATGATAATTTAAAGTACTTTTTTGCTTTGAAGACCGAAAACCTGACAATAAACAAATTGCTATGCGTTTTAGAAGGTTTTAATATAACCAATTTTAGAATTATTACCCATGAAACGAACAAGCTACACCATTCATATTTAACGTTAAGAATATTCATCAATCAACGCACACATTAATGTGGAAAGGAAATCTTACCTTTTCCAGTAACACAGCTTAAAACAATAAGGGCCAGCACACAACCCTGCCGTACTCCTGCCATGGTAAAAGCTTCTCAGGAACACTGGGCGACTTTAATTGATTCAGACCAGAAACTTCATTCGACTTCCTGATATGCCGTCACTGATCAGTGTATGGAGCTTGAATAATGCTGGCTTTCAAAAGCTTGAGTCATACAAGGATCGCCCTGTTGGGGAGTTTGTCGACGCGGAAGGGATAGGACTCACATGTGCATCATCAACAGCTTGATTCAGCCTCCAGCGTGACTGCAAGATACAGAGTTAGATCATGTGAAACTAGTGCGGCCAGTCGACCGCTTAGTTTTGCTTGATTGAACACGTGTGGATATACTTGGAAGACATGATTGATCGAACACGTTCCTGAAGCCAACGCTACATTTTGACCCAGTTATTGACTATATAACCACCGTTATATTAATGAGCGAGTCAGTATGGTCTTACGCTGCACACATTGTATGTCGGGAATAGAGCCTTGATATTCTGCGTTATGCATGCTTTAAACAGTGGCGAACCGATCGCCCTTAAATAAATGAAATTTTGATATAACCCTGACTCTTGTCGATCCTTAATGGTATTTATAGCTAAAATGGATAGAATTATCATTAAACCGCCCGCACGTTATCAGAAATGAGCGGGCCACTGTAACTTGATAATGCCCTCATATTGCTTGACGACGGGCCATTATCAAGCCCGTTGTTAGGTGACGTCATAGGGTAGAGAAAATGACGTCACGTATTATAGTGTCGTCATCTGGTTTGTTCTATGACGTTTCCATGTTTGTAAAAATTGGGTCAGTGACATTCGTGTTAATTGCAAAATTTTTAAAAACCGATGTTGTTGTTTCTTTTTATTTGATAACAAATTCCATCCATTTTAGCTATAATAACAATAACGCTATTTTTCAGGGCATTATCATATGCAGAAGCCCTCGGTCTTTTCAACTGCCCTCCTTCGTCGGGCAGTTAATGGAAAACCTCGGGCTTCTGCAAATGATAATGCCCTGAAAAATAGCGTTATCGTTATAGTATAAATACGGATGATCGTTTTTCTTATACTGAACGTGATGTTTGTTTGTTTGTTTGTTGTTTAACGCCGCACTCAGCGAAATTCTAGCTATATGACGACGGTCTGTAAATAATCGAGTCTGGACCAGACAATACTGTGACTGACATCATGAGCATCGATCCACGCAATCGGAATACGATGACATGCCTCAACCAAGTCAGCGAGCCTGACCACCCGATCCCGTTAGTTGTCTCTTACGACAAGCATAGTCGCCTCTTACGGCAAGAATGGGTTGCTGAAGACCTATTCTACCCCGGACACGGGTCGTACTTGGTGTAAAGACAGTTCATACATATTATAAATAGTCACCTAAGGTCAAATTACTTCAGTTAGAGTTAGTGTAGTACAAAGGAATTGAGTTAACTATTCCGGATTTCCTTCAATACAGATTCCGGAATGAATTTGTGGGACAAAGGGCAATTTAATTAATTTTCACATATCTGACGCTGCCTCATCCACTCATGCCACTCACGCATACGGACTAAGTATTCGGTCACCCACAAGTCCATTTGAACAGATTCCTCTCAAGGCCGTAGTTAACCTTTTTTGACAGGGGGGGGCAAATATTTTTACAAGTATCACTTGTCCCCAACTTGATTCAAATAAAACTGTTTACTATATAAAAAAAATCCCCCCCCCCCCCCCCCCCGGCTGGCTGCAGCACTGCCTCTGTAGTTGGACCCCAGTGAGGACCCGGGTTAGAATTGTCTTCAGAAACCCTTGCTTGTCGTAAGAGGCGACTACCGTAACCTAAGAAAAATGTTTGTTTGTTTGTTTGGTTGGTTGTTTGTTGTTTAACGCCGCACTCAGCAATATCCCGGCTATATGACGGCGGTCAGTAAATAATCGAGTCTGGACAGGACAATCCAGTGATTGATATCATGAGCATCGACCCACGCAACTGAGATACAAAGACGTGCATTTTACGACAAGCAAAGTCACCTTTTACGGCAAGCATGGGTGGCCGAAGACCTATTCTACCCCGGATCTTCACGGGTCTCATAAAACAAAGAAGGTAGCTTACCTCAGAGACTACAGAATGACCTTCACGTGTTGAGTGGATGGTCAGTGTGAGTCCAACACATCCCCATGTGATGGTTACGAGAATCGGAAGCAACGTCCTCTTTTAATGCATGTCACCTCCACTTCAGTCAGAGGCGGAATAGAGTAGAGAATTGACCTTAATTTGGTGTCCAAGGTCACGCAATGCAGTCTGAACTGTCACGCGCAGCACATGCCGCACGTGTCATATGTGCGAATGTACACAACAGTCTCGTCTTTTGGTTTGTTTACACACTCGCTTTTATGCAGCAGACGATGAGGTGAACTGATATCGGTATCAATCTTGTTTTTTGCCCAATTGTATTGTCACATATTCTTTAGATATTATAGTAGCAGCAACTATTCATTTAATAACCTATAGTTGTACATATCATGCTTTCAAAATGCCCACCCACAATGACTGATAAAAAAGTTAGACACTTTTCTTAAAATATTATCTTTCGTTGTGGTGCGGTCGTCAGACCTGACCGAGCCATCGGAATAAGTAATTTTGCAAATTGATTGTAGACTGTTCTTGAAGGAGAAAAGCATGCCATGTATATTTATACTGCCTTAAGTCGAATTTGAAACCATCCATACGAGGTGAGGTGAAATTGGGTTTAACGTCGCGTCCAAGATTATTGCACTTACATAGCGACGTGCATGTACGTGTGTGTGTGTTTGTGTGGCTGCTTGTACTAGTCCGGAGTGATGCCGATTTATAGTACTAGCTCACTGAGATGCCATGCCGCAGTTTAACATGAATACCCCACTCAGACACAGTATACTGACTCCGAGCCGACCAGTCCTTGTTTTAGCCCCTTAATGCCGAGCGCCAGACAGGGTAACAACAAGTACCATCTTTTAACGTCTCTTGGTGTGACGCGGTCGGGGATCGAACCCCGGACCTTCCGATCTCCGGGCGGACGCTCTACCACTAAACTACGGAGGCGGTCTACATCCATATGACGACGGTCTGTAAATAATCGGGTGTGGACAGACAAACCAGGGTTCGATAGTGTGAGCAATGTTGTGATATATTTTTATACAGTGGTGTACAGCCTGAGACATGGCGGAAGACTTTGGTACACCGGATGGTGATTGTGATTATGTTTATTGATGGATTAGAAAGAAAACACTTGACGACGACGACGATGATGATAACGATGATGTTAATGCCGACGACGATGAGAGCGATGATAGTGACGATGTTAATGACGAGTATAGCGACAATAATTATTACGATTATAAGTGAGTGAGTGAGTATGGTTTTACGCCGCTTTTAGCAATATTCCAGCAATATCACGGCGGGGGACACCAGAAATGGGCTTCACACATTGTACCCCTGTCGGGAATCGAACCCCGGTCTTCAGCGTGACGAGCGAACGCTTTAACCACTAGACTACCCGACCGCCCCATTACGATTATAACGACGACGATGATGGTGATGATCATGACGTAGACGACTGTGCGTTTAGAGATCAGATGGTAAGAGACATGCCAATCACGACGAGGTGGTGAAAAAATATAAAGAATAAAAAAACTTCAAAATCATAAACGTGTTAATCAATATTAATTTCTGTCTTGCAGCTGTGGCACAAACTCTACTAAAACTCGAACTGGATACCAAAACACTTTATAATCGAAACAAATTGCATAAACAGTAAACTACGGTTATAACGAACTCAAAGGGACCAATAATTTTAGTTTGTTATAACCGTAGTTCGTTAAAAGCATATATACAGCCGATATACATCAAATGGCCGGGACTAAAAAATAAGTTCGTTATATCGGTCAGTTCGTTATAAGCGTGTTCGTTTTAACCGTAGTTTACTGTATAGTCAAATAACATCTGTAACATGATTCGATGAACTGTAAACAAGGGAGGTAACTTGTGTCAGCGTGGATGCAGTATTTAAAACAAAAGAAGAAATCGAACACCAGTTCTGGGATTTCTCGCAGGACTTCACGTCACAAGCGACACCTTGTCTGAAAGCATGGACACAAACCTGACGCGCGGACCTCACAGAAAACAACCCAGCTGTCAATAACCGAGTGTAATTAACAACGCCAGCCGAAGACACCTCACCTGAAGAGGAACGAGGTCACGGCAATAGTATTTCCTGAACAATGTTTAAAGGCGGTGTTAATATTAGCAAAACAAACATAAATATTAGCTTCTACGGCAGATTAAGGGTTTCTTAGTTCAATTAACACGTAGGGATATGAGAAACTCCCGAAGATTTTGTTAAAGCAATTTCCCAAGTGGCATCAAGGTTTCTGTGATCTGTGAATATTTTTCCACGTGCTGGTGAAGTTAGTTCAATCACTTATTCACCATCTGTTGGACACACACATCGTTACTCGCTTATTTTTAAGGAAATATTTGAGCTGAGGGTCAGTATAAAGAAATTAGGGACAATGAAGTTATTTAAGTTGGGTGCCGATGCGACATTAAATTTTACTCACTCCCTCCCTTATTTAAGTGGGGCCTTTTTAACAAAATGATTTATAAAAAAATGTTCGTTGCACCTGCTTGACGTTCCGAAAAGATATGCTTGGTGTCATTTCAGAGTAAAATGTGTATGTTTCGAATCAGTGACCGAAAAATATCCTGTCTCAAACAAAATCCCCAGTCGAAAATAATACCGTTTAATTTAAGGTGACACGGAAATACTGCACTCTAACTAAAGAGAGCGTAAAAGTGCGAAATCTACTTACGAGCGAGACCCGCGAAGATCCGGGGTAGAATAGGTCTTCAGCAACCATCGCTTGCCGTAAATTGTCGTAAGATGTGACTAACGGAATCGGGTGGTCAGGCTCGTTGACTTGGTTGATGCATGTCATCGTATCCCAATTGCGTGGATCGATGCTCATGATGTCAATCACTGGATTGTCTAGCCCAGACTCGATTATTTACAGACCGTCGTCATATGGTTGGAATATTGCTGAGTGCGGCGTTAAACAAACAAACAAACAAACAAACAAACACACTTACGAGCAAGCACCGAAACCAAGATGAATTTTCACCATATGTCTTCGCCTATTCTTCCTACGAAAATCACTCTGGATCAAAGATTTGCATGTCCACATGTTACATGTTTCCGGAAATCTTCTAATGTCCTTTTATTGACAAAATTTCTACGCTTTAGAGATTTCAATAACACGCAGGCGTTTAAATAAAGAAACCTTATTCATACGACCACATATGTCGTACTATTCCATCTAACATTCTACAAGTTTTGTGTCTTGCATATCACACCTTGTACCGGCCTCTAAATATCGAATCTGGACCAGACAATCAAGTGACTAATATAATGAGCAACGATCCACGATCAGGGCACAATGACAGGTACCATAACAACGTCACCAAGTCTGACAACCCGATTCGTTTAAGCGCCTTGGGTGATCATTCCGATCATCATCCTCGATCATCATCCTCGATCATCGATCATCATCATCACCATCATCGATCATCGATCATCACCATCATCGAGCATCATCATCACCCTCGATCCTCGAGCATCATCTATCATCATCATCGATCATCATCCTCGATCATCGATCATCATCATCACCATCATCGATCATCACCATCATCGAGCATCATCATCACCATCATCGAGCATCATCATCATCCTCGATCCTCGAGCATCATCTATCATCATCATCGATCATCATCGATCATCATCATCATCATCATCATCATCATCATCGATTATCATCATCGATTTTCATCATCATCATCATCGATTATCATCATCATCATCGATTTTCATCATCATCATCATCATCATCATCGATTTTCATCATCATCATCATCGATTATCATCATTATCATCTCATCGATTATCATCATCATCATCATCATCATCGATTATCATCGATCATCATCATCACCATCGATTATCATCATTATCATCGATCATCATCATCACCATCGATTATCATCGATCATCATCACCACCATCATCATCATCATCATCATCATCATCGATCCCGTGGGTATTCCTTGTAAGAATATAGGTGCTGAGCAACCCATACTTGCCGTAAAAGGCGACTCTGCTTGTCGTAAGAGGCGACTAACGGGATCGGGTTGTCAGGCTCGCTGACTTGGTTGATTGCCTGTCGTCGTATCCCAAGTGCATGAGGCGATGCTCATCATGTGAATCACTGGATTGTCTGGTCTGTTATACACAAGTCGTCGTCATATAGCTGGAATATTGCTGAGTGGGTCGGTAAACAACAAACCGACCATTATAATTATCAGTGTTGTCTGCATCACTTCGGGCTTCCACTTCACCCCTCTGACATCAAGATGAAGCTGAAATACTGTTCAAAGCGACGTGAAACTTTACTCACTCACTCATCCACTCATTTGACGTTATGTATGATAAATAAATAATCTTTATTTCCTCCATTAGTATCGGGGAGTACAAACATGGAAATTAATTAATCAGTATGTACATGCATGATAACAGATATGTATATAGTCAGGTTACAAATAGAGAATAGACTTCAGCTGCCATGAGCTTATTTCTTTGCTGACTAGGGGCGGTCAGGTAGCCTAGTGGTTAAAGCGTTCGCTCGTCACGCCGAAGACCCGGGTTCCATTCCCGACATGGGTACAATGTGTGAAGCTCATTTCTGGTGTCCCCCGCCGTGATATTGCTGAAATATTGCTAAAAGCGGCGTAAAACCATACTCACTCACCCACTCTTTGCTGACTATGCTTATGAACTGAGTCCATGTGTCCTCAACAACATGCCTGATGGCACCAAGTAGTGTCACAACTCTCAGTTCGTTGTCTGTACAATCTTTTTTCGAAGATATTGGTTAAGGCACAGTTTCCCAATAATCGAGTTCCGGACTAAAGACCTTCCACTGTATGCTGCTCTTATCAAATAACACAGTTCGGATGCTATGTCTAAATTCTTTTACCTCAATATTCTCATCCATCTTCCCGAGGCAAGAGAGTTAACTGACTTTAAAAGTCCAGTTTCACGTGGAAACTGGACTTTTATAGTCACATATCATGATGAGAATCATCTTCCTGAGGCAAGAGAGTTAACTGACTTTAAAAGTCCAGTTTCAGTTCGGAT